CTTTTTGTCCCACCATTTATTAAACAAGAATTTAGAGATTCATGACATATAAACAGCTATAAATGTCCTATCTAATAAAGAGGGGATATGCTAATTGACCCTTATGCCATCACAAAGATGGCAGCGCCCACAGCCAATAAGAAGGGAATATGCTAATTGACTGCCCCACCCTCAAAGATGGCGGCACCCACAGCCCATAAGGAGGAAATATGCTAATTGACTGCCATGCCCTCAAAGATGGCAGCGCCCACAGCCACAAGATGGTGGTGCCCAGTCCCCTCAGCCCTGCCGGGGCATGCCTGCCTCCGGAGTCCCTCAGTCCCCTCAGCCCCCCAGCCGCCCAGAGCTGTCCCGAGGCACAGGTAACCAGGGCTGCCCGAGGTTGTGCTGCCGGCAGTGGCCACAGCAGAGGTGTGATGGGGGCGTCACCTTCCCCTGATCACCGGGTAGCCTCCGCCCCTGAGGGCTCCTGGACTGTGAGAGGGGGCAGGCCGGGCAGAGGGATCCCCCATCCAGTGCATGAATTTTCATGCACTGGGCCTCTAGTTTTTATATAAAACAAGAGACCTAAGAATTAGCACTTACTTTTATGCTCATAAGTTCAAGATATAGAGTAACAAATAATTTTCACAGAGAACAGAATTCAGAAAAATTTCAGGAAGGTTCCATAGTGAGTTAGTAACTGACTTTCTATAGACTGTGACCTTCTGGCTTGTAGCAACCACATGTTTATTATTTGTTCATATTCTTTGCTTAATATAGAATAGTTGCAAAGTGAATTTGTCCACTTTTAGAATAATTTTAGTCTAAACTTTTCAGTATTTTTGCAATAATTTTATTCTGCTGTTAACATACTTATAGCTTTAGACAATTTCTTTGTCCAGATTAAAAATATGATTTTAAAATCTCAGTATCTTAATCTTTTCTTTTTTAGTTTATCAGTTTTAAAAATGTGATTGAATGGTTAATAAGGTATATAAATCTCAAACTGAACTATGACACCTCATGAGAAACCAAAATATGAGTCATTTTTATCTATCATCCTCAGTATTTGAATGTCATAATTAGAGGATGTAACAAGTAAAATATTCTTTCCACCCTTAGGAAGAACACACAGGTGTTCTAAAAAGGGAGGAAGTCAATAATTGAGTGCAATTTAGTATTTGCTAATTGTTGCTGTATGAAAGCAAAAATAGAACTCAAATTGTATCTACTTTCTCTTGCAAAGTATATGTTCCATCTTTCTTGTCTTACTGTCTTTAGAACAAAAATTCAGAGGCCTCATCACATTTAATGGTGAATAATTGGGTCAGAAAAATAGAGCCCATGCAGCAGAAAACATTTTAGGTAAATAAAGATATATGCACTTATGCATAATACTACATATTTACTCAAGCACATAACATACACCCGCCTTTCATACACATATACAGTCAGTCATTTTTCCCGATAGCTTTTAATAAAATAAATAATTTTCACAGATTATACAACATTTAGTGGAAAGAACTTAAAACACCACAAATTCCTTAAGGAAAGAATTTTTGAATGTTAGACTTTTTGATTATTTTCTTGTAGAAACAGAGAGTATCAGGGTGGTTATCAAGGGATGAGGAAAAAGAAGAGATATTGGTTAGAGGGTATAAACTTTGGGTTAGAAGATAAGTAAGTTCTGGTAATCAAATATGCTGAATTATTATTATAATTAGCAATAATCCTATCTAATAAAAGAGTAATATGCAAATTAACCATCACTCCGCAACAAAGATGGTGGTGCCCATAGTGGCCAGGGCGGGACGCTGGCGGCATCACCCGGCAATGCGAGCCCAGCATCCGCTCCTCGACTGCGCGGAGGGAGGGGAGGGGCCCCTGGGTGCAGGACGCTGGGCTCGCGTTGCCCCTGGCAACACGAGCCCAGTATCCACACCCCGGCTGTGTGGAGGGAGGGAAGGGGCCTCTGGCCAGAGCCTGGGGTGAGGGACGCTGGCGTCGTTGCAGGCTGGGCTGAGAGACCCCACTCACAACCATGCACGAATTTCATGCACCGGGCCTCTAGTATATTATATACTTGAGAGCTGTTAAAAGAGTAGATCTCAATTGCCCTCCTCACCACTAAAAAGCAATGCTAATTATGTGATGTGATGGAGGTATTAGCTAATGCTACAATGGCAACTATTTCTCAATATATAAGTGTATCAAATCAAAACACTGTGCATCTTAAACTTATACAATGTTAGATGTTAATTATATCTCAATAAATCTTGAAACAAAGAGGCTAACATACATACCAGGATAGCTTAAGATATATCAACAGATCACAAAATAGGAATTATAAGCAAAAACTTTCAAATTGGCATTATGTAGTTTTCAAATGAGAAGAGTGTAGGATAGTTTAGATAAAAGTAAAACAAAGATGACCCTAAAGTAGAGTTAGCACACAGAAGAGTGTTTTTAATGGAATGCGCTATTTCCATCCTGTTTTTTTAGGCAGTAGAACACTGTCATAGAGTAAGGTCTCTGGAGTAAGACAGACCTGAGTCTGAATCCTAGCTTCACTTGGGAACCTTGAGTAAATTACTTAATATTTCCATGCCTTAGTTTTCTCACTATACAATACAAATAATAAACAATGGTACCTAGCCTGTTGGGTATTTGAGATAATGAAAGGTTAAATATGATCATGTACATCAATGTCTGACCCAATTAATGTTAGCTATTGTTACTTAAGGAATGTCTTTCTTTAGTTTCAGAAAAAGTATCAAGGACTTGGCGAGCATAAAGATATCTATAACAATAAAAGTGTAATATGCAAATCAACCCAACGACTGAACAGCAGAATGACCATCCAGATGACCTTCTGGACCACCATGCTATGACATGCACTGGTGCCAGGCTAGCCAAGGTGGGTGCAATGCAATTGGTGGGGGCGGGGGGGCATTGCCTCATGAGTGCCCTGCAGAGGGAGGCCCAGGCCACTGGTTGGCAGAGCAATTGATCAATTGGGGAGCTCAATGATCGCCCCAAAGAGGGAGGCCCAGGCCACTGACTGATGGGCTGTAGCGGGTGGGTGGGGCCTCCCGCTGCAGGGGTGATCCATCGCGGAGCCCCAGCCAGGTAGGCAGGGCTTACTTCTTTGGGGCAATCAATCGCAGGGCTCCTGGACTGTGAGAGGGTACAGGCCGGGCTGAGGGACACCCCCCACCAGAGTGCACGAATTTTGTGCACTGGGTCTCTAGTAAACATATATTAAAGATAATATAACATACAACCCATTCAAACCAATCTAGATTTTATTTAAAATAAATTATCATAAGTTTTATTAATAAATATGAATAAATTGTTATCATTTTACTCATTTTAAACTGTATTTCCTTAATAAATAAAATTTGGTCACTGGGTCAAATGTTAGTAATGTTGACCAATTTGGAGCTGGGTTAGCAGTATATACAGCATTAGCGGCAATTACTCATTTGGTTTTCTTTCCCTTAATATGTCTAGCTCAGAACTTTAGACCTGGTAGCTGCTAAATGGCTGGCTTATGGTAACTGCCTCATAGAGCTGAACTGAATTTTCAGGGAGCCCACCCAAACAGTACTGTTTAAAATTTTTTTTACAAATGAGAAGCATTTAGTTATACACTTTCAGAAAAGGTCCAATAGCATAGTGGTTGATAACATAGGTCTTAGAGACATAAAGATCTCCATATGAATTCTGCCTCTGTACAACATGATCCAGGGCAAGCTAATCTAAGCTGCTTTCCTTGTTTATGAAATTAGGATAATAAGGAATGTAATGTACTTAGCACAGTGCCTGACATATGGAACTCATTCATGTAACAAGTGATTTATACCAAAGTTCAGATAAAGGAGTTTGAGAAAGATCAGTGCACCTGGACTTGTGGAAAATGTTTCAAATTTTGTTATTAAAGCCGACATACATAGTTTTCTCTCACAAATGGGAAAACACCTTAATATCAGCCTTAAAGACACCAAATAACTTACACATATTTTCAACCATATGGATCTTTTCTTCTGTTATAAACTATTTTTAGCACATAAAAAACTTTCACATTGAAAACACGTTATAAGAAAGCAGAAATTCTTTTAGAGAATATAAGAAATTTAGAAAATAAGTACACTCATGTAGTGCTTTTAAAATTTGTGTTAATTAAAATGAAAATCTATTTGCTTTGAGAAAATTGTACTGTTCCTGAATTAACTTATTTTATGTTCTGACATCACCTAAAATTGGCTGATGCAGCTCTACTCTGTGATGTGTTACAACTTCTGGAGGAAAACAGAAAATTTCAAGAGAAAACATTAAATTATTTGAAAATTCATATAGCAGAGTAATTTGGTACTCTTGCATTTTATTAAGGAAGATAAGCAAAAATATAGTGAGCTATATAAATTTGTATAAAGTGATCATGAAGTCAAAGATAGCAATTCAGCAAATGATAATTTTCAAATACTTAAAAAATATAATTTATAAACCTATTTAGAAATATACCTGTGTTTTATGTAAAAGCATGTCTAATCATAATTTTCAAAATAATTATGTTTTTTACCTTGATTTTTCTCCACTGGTGGGATATTTAAATGATGACAGGAAAGAATTAATTGCATCACAATAGTTTCTTTCCTTTGTCTCTATTTTGAATAAAATTAGGGATTTTCAAATCATCTTTTATTTGTATATATTTTATAACAATATTAAAGGAACTTTTAAAATCAGCTGTAGTTAAATTGCTATGCCTCTGTAACCAATTATATATAATTTTATAATTAGTATTTCATAATAGCTCTTTATTGGAATTGACCGACTGAAATATTATAATCTTAAACCTCCAGTTCTAAATAATGCCAATTTCAACAAATTTTCAATAATTCTTTTTACCTAATAATACTTTGGCTTTGGAAGATACAATGGATTAAAAATAATACTTTTCCATTATATAGATATATCTGTGTGTTTATATGTATATGCACTGTATATATACACACATACACACAGTTTCATTGAAAAATTTATGCAATCAAAAAACCAAAGTTCCTATTGGCAATATTTTTGTCTTACATTTCCATTAGTTTTAATAATTTAAATAACAGGAAAGAAAACACTTCTATTACTATACTTACAGAAAAGGAAATGCATATGAAAAATGTGTAAATAAATTTCCTAATATTTATTTTCTTATTTATTTTCAAGTTTTCAATTAGGTTTAACTAAATAGAAAAATGTTAGAAAATTAAAGATATCAAAAGCCTTAAGTTAAGACAAACAGAAATTTTAAAAATCACTAACCCAAAGCATGCACTGCTCCTCTATGCCTGCTGGAACTCTTGCTTGTTTTAGTCACTCGGGCAGCACTTTCTTTGAACTGCAGCTCACAAAAATTTGCAAGAAATTTTGACATTTCTTCTGTAACAGTATCCAGGTAGGTTTCTTTAATGAATTTCACTGTTGAGGATGGAGCTAAAATTTCATGCAGTGTGTTAAAATCCTCTTCTATCATTGAGTATAACCTAAGCATTGTACTTTGGTATCCATGAACCATTACGTCTAAATTTGATTCCCTGCTATAAGAAGGAAAGCAGTTCTGCAGAAGTTTATTCTGTATATTTTGATACTTGACTATAACTTCTGATTCTGGATAAAGAAACAAGAGTTGTTGTATGCACTGATTTTTCAACAGAATTTTCTGCTGCAAATTGTTTATTTCATTATGGCTTTGTAATTTGCCCACTAAGAAGCGTCGAAGATGTAATCTGATATCATCCCATATAGACTTTACATCCATAGAGGAATGATCTTCAACAGAATGAAGAGAAGTCCTAGAGAGGAAGTGGAAAGATGTCCAACTTAAAGTTGATGGAAATGAAATGCTGCTCTGACAGGAGAGGTCCCAAAGTAAATCCAGTATCATTTCTTCTTGATTTTGTTCATTCTTCAACAAATCTTGCTAATGGAAGGAAATTATAACGTTAGAAATGTGATTAATTAAAGGAGTAGCAGGAAAAAAGATTTCTACAGTCATATAAAATTTGATAATTCATTTCAAATTAGAATTAATACTCTGATGCTCTTCAAGGTGGGCTTTTTTTTTATTTTTGCATTTGACATTTAATCAGGTCAGACATTTTAGAGTGTTAGCTTTATGAATTGTTTAAATTTGCAAAGCCCAGAGGATGAACTATATTTTCAATTAGATTTCTAGACATATAGATTTTAGCCTTCATTGTTATCCGCCACTGATATAATGTAGGCAGTATAAAAACTGCAGCTCAAAAATTCTAAAGAAAAACCTATAATAAAATATCAATTGAAGTGTATTCCTAAAATAAGCTCAAGATCACACCCTAATTAGTTGCTGGTGGGTAATTTTCATGCCTGAATGAGTATACTTATTATAAAACTCCAAATGAACATAAAAATGGAGACCTTAAATATAGTATGTGCCCAGGGGTTACTAATAGCTGCCATCCTGAGAAATAAAATTTAACACATTTGAAGACTTTAACTTTCATTTAAATTCCTTTGTGAGAGCCATGTCAAGAAAGATTTTACTTTGGAAATTAATCTGAGAAAACTTCAATTCTCTCCAAAGAAATAACTAAGTCAAAATAGGGAAACAATACTCTCAGAATCATTCCCCAAAAGATGCTATGAGAGAATTTCATTATATTTTTCATGCTGAGAGAAAACAATGGTAGGTGTAATTATGAAAAGTAAAGGGACAAAAAAATTACTTTCTTTCTGGACTTTAAATTTTACATGTACACATTCCCTTTACATAATGACTTCCCTAATTATGTGTATTTCAGTTAATACTGAAATTAGCTTATATTCTCTAGGTAGCAACAAGCCGATAGCAAGAAAAATGGAAGCAAGGTTCAAATGGCATAAAATCAGGAAGTTTTTGAAAATTTTATTGACAAAGATACCACAGATTACAACTCCTGGACAAATTCCAGGAATGTGCTTTCAGTCATTCTAAGCACTGTAATGTCTGATTTAATATTGTATTGTATTATATAAAAAGCACTTTTTCGTCTGGCCAGTGTTGCTCAGTAGTTGAGTGTTGACCCTTGAACCAGGAGGTCACAGTTGGATTCCTGGTCAGGGTACATGCCCGGGTTGCTGGCTTCAATTCCCCGTAGTGGGTGTGCAGGAAGAAGCAAACCGATGACTCTCTCTCATCATTGATGTTTCTATCTCTCTCCCTCTCTCCCTTCTTCTTCCCGAAATCAATAAAAACAAACATTTTAAAAGCACTCTTCTATACAGTCTCTATCTTATTCATTATGGAAATGTAGCATAGATATTTAAAATCCCAATCTACAGATAAGGACACTGAAGTGCATGTTAAGTGACTTTCTAAACATCACATACAATAAAGTGTAGAATCCAGCATGAATCCCCAGCTTTGTTCTCCTTGTCCCCCGTTCAACCTGCTACACTCTATGGAGCCATAAAGTGTATTGGCCTTTCGGCACCTTCTCTTTCTTCTCCATGGATTGAGTTCTTTTGATACTTATGGAAAAGAAATGTCCTTAGAGTCCAGGACATCAGCATTTTAGTAAATTCTATAAAGCAAGTGAATCATATTAGTGCTGCAATCTTGGGCTTCTCATTTAAAATAGAGGGTGGTCAATAACTGTAAATATTTGATCAAGTATAATAGATTACAGAGGTTTAAAATATGTATTTAGTATGATTGCTTACATTTTGAAAATAACTTCAGGATAATTGCTATAATGAGGACCTCTGTTTCTTATTTAAACAGCTAGATAAGTAATAAATAGAAAATTTTCTATGAAAAAAATATTTGTATGAAAAATGCTGGACAAATGATTGACAACTTTATCATGTAAAAACTTGATAATAAGGTCATTTTAATCTGGATCTGTTTTAATAATGTGCTCTTTCCTCAAAATAACATGATCAATTATGTGAAAAAAACCTAGATCTCAAATAAGTCTATCAGTCTAATGAATTTGAGCAAAACTAAGGCAGCCTTTGCCCTGCAGTGAATACAGAATGACTTATGTGTGACAGATTAAAAGATAATTAAAAGCTTTTGCTTTTAATTAAATGAGAAAGCATTATTACATCAATATTAATGAAATTCAATACACATGCCTCTTAATAGAAATTAAAGGAATAACTATATCCATATTTATTCTTCAAGGCTCCACCTTCGAGAGATAATGGGTGAGAGGATTTTCTTAAAAGAATAAGGCTTCGGGGCACATAGTCTTCCTTTCTCTTTCATTTATTACTTGTTAAACATTAAAGAGACATCTGCAATAATAACAACAGCCAAAAACTATTTTCATCTGATTCTATCATCCTAAGCCATCTACAACCTCAAGATATTTTCCACATCTGCCTTAGTCAATGTTTGATGTTTAGACAAAAACGGTGCCCCCTTTTTTCCCTAAATTAAATCAAAACCATAGCTATGGAAATACTGCTTTCTAACACTTGTGCTGTTTCTTGGGAAATAGTTTTTGCAAGCTAACCACCTTTGTGGATACAGGAGTCATAAAATAAATGTTTTTATTGAAGACTACAAAATCTTATTTAACATAGAGGGTTGTCAGTATCAAGAAATTACCAATGTAATAATTCTCTACCAATTAACAGTGGCTTCATTTGAATTGCTGCCTTGATTGAAAATAACTGGGCATACCTGCAGGTTAAGGATGAAGGGAATGATAAGACAAGGCTACTTAATAGATGTAATCAATTGTGATCTGATTATGCTTAATAATGAGCTCAGAGAAAATGGTATTGAAGGAACACAAAATGTAATAAATATAAACTTTTCTGGTAAACAATTGTGGTAGATATATACTTTGTGGTATATGTTACATTATAAATCAACCAAGAGTTATGTTTAATCTCCACTTATATAAAACTTCATTTTATTGATAAAAATCATAGAAAAAAACCCAAATAGTTCACTGGATTACATTGGGGATACAATAACAAAACAAAACATAAGCCCCAACCCCTAGAAATGCCAACCTAATATGGTCACTAAAATAAATATTATTTACAAATAGAAATTGAATAAATTGTATTCCTTGTTCACCCATCCCACTCCACTATAAAGCAAAGATATATATATTATCTTTTACCAGTGTTTTGAGAAATTTTATCAAATCTCCATGGGGAATAGAAGGTGACTTGGATGAATTATAATTATAGTTATTTAACCATTCAAAACAGTCAGTTGTTGTCTGCAACTGCACATCTGGACATTGTTTGTTGACTTCGGACTGTATTTCTTTAATGCAATGTTCTATGCTATAAAAAAGAAAAGAAAAAATTATTTTGGTAGAAAGTAGGTAATAGCTTCATCTCATAATATCACAGGCCCTGAAACGTTTATATGTGGTACCTGACTGCATACAATTTATAAAATTATAAAACATTCATATGATATGAAAATAATAACAAAGAGACTATATATTTTCAATCATAATTGAAACTGAAAGTTCAAATTTTCTGGAAGTTTCATTTCAAATGCAATAGAGGAAATACTAGATATTTAGCTGCTCAGAGATAAATTAGAAATTCTTTTGTGTTAAAATAAATATGAAGTATAGATACAATGAAATAATGGTCTTCTTGATAGGCAGTGGATAAAAGGCAGAGACAAAATACTCTTGATGGCTGAAGACCAGAAATGTACATTGTCTACTAATAGGCAATGACTATATAAAATTATGAAAAACTTCAATAAATGGAATATTAAGAGGTCACAAAGCAGAAGCCATGAGCTTGTCATTTTAAAAGTTGAAAAATATATATGCTGTATATACACTCTTACGATAGCTAAGTACCTCTTCCTGCCATTGACCTCTACTCCAAAAAACACAAACATACTGAAAATTGCAAATTAAAAAAGACTACAAGGAAATGAAACAACAGGTTAAAGCAATTATCTTTGAATTATAAAATTTGGTGCTTTTAATTTTATTTTTCTGTTTTCTAAATCTTCATTAAATAAACAAACTAGGAACAGAGAAAATGTATCCAATTGAAGCTTCCAATATATACCAGTTTTTAAAGTTTCATTCAAAGTATCCTTAGCTCTGATATGAAATAGATATACTATGTTATTTTATTTTTTATATAAAAATCTGTACATTCATGATTATAAATCTTTGTGGGTTAAACTGGTGACCTTAAGCAGAATGTCATCTGTGGAGCCACATGGATGTGACATATTACTACCACCTGATGGCAGCATATCTAAACTGCAAGAAAGCTTAAAAAAAAAAAGGAAAATTCATTTGAAGCTGAATCTCCTCAACCCATAATTTACAGCTAAGCATTTGCCTCTTAATAGTGTTAAGAAAGATTTGTTCTTAAAATATTCTTACTGTTTTTAAAATAGCATTGTTATTAATTACAGATGCCATATGACAGAACCATGTAGGCTTTGGAAACCCAGCTCTGATTATTAAAATTGATGGCATATGAATGACTTTTCAAAATTCATCAGGTATGTGTTGCCTATAAAACATTCACTATAAAACTTGAAGGAAGGCTTTTCAGGAGACTTCTGAGCATGAGTGAATTTAAATTGAATTATCTTGAAACAAATACACTCTGTGATCCAGAGAGCCTTTTCATGAAAACAAAGAACTTACAAGAAAAACAGCACTTCCTTTGACCACAGGGTACTCAATTTCCTCATGAAACAGCCTTATTCAGGGATGCCAGTTCTAAGTCTGACTTGAGATCGGAATATATTTTCTTAACTTTCATAACAACTTCTATGGACTAAGAAACACAATGCCCTAAACATGCACCTTGACTCTAGAAACCCTTTATCAAAGTCTTTATTATAGCATCCTCATGTGTCACATTCAATGAAATCCAATAGATTACAGCAATGTGAATTGGAAAGGCTCAGTGGTTAGTCTACCTAAATCTGTTTCAATAAGGACTCAGCTCTTGGGCTAATCTCTAACCTCTGACTCTGGGTAGAGGCCAGTAACTACAATTTATAAACACAGTAAAGCCTATAGAGGGCTAGACATTTTAGTGATTTGTCCAAGCACTGATAAAGAGACCGAGCAGTTGCATTTCAGAGGACCTCCCTCATTGATAGAAACTAAGACAGTTGAGCTGTCTTTTAAAAGTATTTTGTCACAAATTTTAAAATGTCAGAATTCATCTGCACCTGATTTTTTTTTTTTTTTTTTTAGTTGGCTAAACATCTTGTCATTCTGCCATTCACCACGGTCTTATTTTCAAAGTGCAATTGTTTGAAGTCTAAAGATTTATTGCCTGATTATTATACAAAAGAAATATTTTCAAAATTTAAAATGAATGTTTTGTATGTAGTCTGACAATTTATCTTCCTTAATTGAGGTAAAAATTAAATTAAAAATTAATTGAGCATAGTGGCTTGGGTCGATTTCTGAGTTCTCTGTTCTGTTCCATTGATCTATATGTCTGTGCCCAAACCAAGCAGTTTTGAGAACAGTGTATTTGTAATATAGCTTGGTATCTGGTATTGAGATCACTCCAACTTTGTTCTTCTTTCTCATGATTGCTGCAGCTATTCGGGATCTTTATTTTTTTATTCTGTATGAATTTTTGAGTTTTTTCTAGGTCTGTGAAATTACCATTGGTATTTTAATGGGGATTGCATTGAATCTATAGATTGCTTTGGGTAGTATGAACATTTTAATGATGTTGAGTCTACCAATGCATGAACACGGTATATTCTTCCATTTGTTTATGTCTTCTATCTCTGTTTTCAATGTCCTGTAGCTTTCTGAGTACAGGTCTTTTACCTCCTTAGTTAAGTTTATACCTAGGTATCTTAATTTTTTTGTTGTAATGGTAAATGGGATTGTTTATTTAGTTTCTCTTTCAGTGAGTTCAGTATTGGTGTATAAAAAGGCTATAGATTTCTGGGTGTTCATTTTGTATCCTGCTACATTGTCAAATGCATTTACTAAGTCGAGTAGCTTTTTGATGGAGTCTTTGGGGTTTTCTATGTACAATATCATGTCATCTGCGAACAATGACAGTTTTACTTCTTCTTTTCCAATTTGGATGCCTTTTATTTCTTCTTCTTGTCTGATCACTATGGTTAGTACTTCTAGTACTATGTCAAACAGAAATGGTGAAAATGGGCATCCATGTCTTAATCCTGTTCTTAGGGGAAATGGTTTTAATTTTTGCTCATTGAGTATGATGTTGGCTGTAGGTGTGTTATATAGGCTTTTATTATGTTGAGGTATGATCCCTCGATTCCCACTTTGCTGAGAGTTTTTATCAAGAAAAGGTGTTGGATTTTGTCAAATGCTTTTTCTGCATCAATTGATATGATTATGTGATTTTTTTCTCTCAATTTGTTTATGTGATGTATCACGTTCATTGATTTGCCGATAATATACCATCCTTGCATCCCCAGAATAAAACCCACTTGGTCATAGTGTACAAACTTTCTTTTTTAAATATATTTTATTTTTGATATTTTACAGAGAGGAAGGGAGAGGGATAGAGAGTTAGAAACATCAATGAGAGAGAAACATCGATCAGCTGCCTCCTGCACACCCCCTACTGGGGATGTGCCCTCAACCAAGGTACATGCCCTTGACCGGAATTGAACCTGGGACCTTTCAGTCCGCAGGCCAACACTCTATCCACTGAGCCAAACCGGTTACAGCGTACGATCTTTCTAATGGATCCAATTTGCAAGAATTTTGTTGAGGATTTTAGCATGTCTCTTCAATAAATGGTGTTGGGAAAATTGGACAGATACATGCAAAAAAAAATGAAACTAGACCACCAACTTACATCATACAAAAAAATATACTCAAAATGGATAAAGGACTTAAACGGAAGACGGGACACTATAAAAATCTTAGAAGAAGCCATAGGCAGCAAAATAGCAGACATTTGGCATAGCAATATCTTTACTGATACAGCTGCTAGGGCAATGGAAATTAAGGAGAAAATAAACAAATGGGATTATAACAAAATAAAAAGCTTCTGCACAGCAAAAGAAACCATCAACAAAACAACAAGAAAGCCCACTGCATGGGAGAACATATTTGCCAATGTTATATCCGATAAGGGTCTAATCTTCAAAATTTATAGGGAACTCATGCATCTTAACAAAAGGAAGATAAACAATCCAATCAAAAAATAGGTAAAGGACCTAAATAGACACTTTTTGAAAGAGGACATACAGAAGGCCAAGAGACATATGAAAACATGCTCAAAGTCACTAATCATCCGAGAGATGCAAATCAAAACAATAATGAGGTACCATCTCACACCTGTCAGAATGGCTATCATCAACAAATCAACAAATGACATGTGCTGGCGAGGATATGGAGAAAAAGGAATCCTCATGCACTGCTGGTGGGAATGCACACTGGTGCAGCCACTGTGGAAAACAGTATGGAGTTTCCTCAAAAAGTTAAAAATGGAACTCCCATTTGACCCAGTAATCCCACTTCTAGGATTATATCCCAAGAAACCAGAAACACCAATCAGAAAGGATATATGCACCCCTATGTTCATAGCAGCACAATTTACAATAGCTAAGATTTGGAAATAGCCTAAGTGCCCATCAGCAGATGAGAGGATTAAAAAGCTGTGGTACACTTACAAAATGAATACTACGCTGCGGTAAAAAAGAAAGAACTCTTACCATTTGCAATAGCATGGATGGACCTGGAGAGCATTTTGCTAAGCAAAATAAGCCAGCGGGAGAAAGATAAATATCACATGTCTCTCTCATTTGTGGAATATAATGAACAACATAAACTGATGAACAAAAATAGATCCAGAGACAGAGGAGCATCAAACAGACCTTCAAACCTCAGAGGGAAGGTGTGGGGGGGGGGGGGTGTAAGAGATCAACCAAAGTACTACTTGTATACATGCATATGAGCATAACCAATGGACACAGACAGTAGCGGGGTGAGGGCATGTGCTGGGAAGTGGGAGTGGCCGGGGAGAGGTCAATGGGGGAAAAAGGAGACATATGTAATACTTTAAACAATAAAGAATTTTATAAAATTAATTTTCAACATCTAAGAGGTAACATTTTTTATACAGTAGTAATATTTTTATGTATGACAGTAATATGGGGATAGTAATCTTGGGTGGGAGGAGGTCTACATACCTTAGACTTAGAGGATACAGATTTTACTCTAGGTTTTCTGAAAAACATGGTACTTGACTTTATTTTAAGTGTTTTCTATTTAACTGTAAGTTGCTTCAAGTTTTCTTTAGAAGCAAGGTTAGTCATGAAAAATTAACCACAC